AATTACACCACTAATTAAAATATTTACAAAACTATAATATTAATTCCAATAATATTTATCATTAAAATAATAATATTAATAAAATAAATGTATTTCCAATCAATACTTTTCAATGATAACTTAATCTACACTGAGAAAAAAAAATTTTTTTGTCCAGAAAAAAATTTCTTGGCTCAAAAATTGTTTAAAATAAATTTTGGTTTTTTGACAAAAGAATATTAATATCTATTATGATAATAAAATGTTGGCATTAATTTTGATAGATTAACAAACTAACAGGTTCAATTTGATCAATTCTTGAGACAAGAAAATATATTCTTGAAAATTATCTTATCTTATATATATTCTTGGGTTATCAGAAAAAATAGACCGGAAAAAATATTAGTTATGAAAAATTTATATTATTTCTTTAAAATTATTATAAAATAAAAATTATAATAATAATTGTATTACGTCCACAATTTTCTTGAAAAACAAGCACCCCCAGAATGATCACTCCTTTTTTTTGTTACAAAAAAAAAATATTATTATTATTGTTATTATAATTATAATTTTTATTTTATAATAATTTTAATGAAATAATATAAAAATTATTCATAATTTAAAAATTATTTCGGGTCTATTTTTTCCGGGATTCATATTAAAAAAAAATATTATTATTATTATAATTTTTATTTTATAATAATTTTAATGAAAAATTTTCATAACTTTAAAATTATTTCGGGTCTATTTTTTCCGGGATATTCTTATGACAAGAAAATTTTCTCAAGAGTACTTTTTTTTCTCAGTGTAATAAATAATAATTTTTAATCATTATTAATTATCATCACAACTGTGTTTTTATATTGTTCAACAATAACCACACAAGTGAAACCCCCCACAACAAACTTTGATCATTCAAAACAATTAAAAATAACTCCCCAAAACTTAAAAATTCACGTAGAATTAAAACTACTAGCACTGGGAGCTTCTTCTTTCCCCGAAGACAAAGTAACCGAAGACGTCGTCAAACCAGTGGTAATACCTAAATTCCCACTAGCACTACCGGTACTATTACCACCAGTGACACTAGACTCAGTGCAAATCCTCTTGGAATCCTTGTGACCTTGACTCGAGCTCTGTTTCCTCTTGTGGCTGGAATTCGACTGAGAAGTAGAACTTCTGTGAGAGCTCTTCCTATGATAATCATTCTCATGCCGATGCGAGTCGCGCTTCTTGTCCTTAGAACTCATGGACTCGTCTTTGGACTTAGTCACCGAGGAGCTGGACGAGGAAGACGGCGACGAAGAGGAAGAATTATGAGACTTGCTACTAGATTTACTTTTCCGCTCTTTATCCCTATCTTTCTCTCTATGCCGATCTCTGGAGTCTCTATCGTACTTCCTGGAGCTCTCCTTGGGCCTGTGTTTCTCGGGCCTCCACTCCAGATTAACCTGAACCTCCTGCTTCTCCTCTACCTTCTTAACAACCTCAGTCTCGACTTCCCGATTCCTTTCTTTTGCCTCCTCCTCAGCCATCTCAATCAGCGCTTTGAGCGCATTTTCCGTGGCACACTCCCTCTCGGAAGTAAACGCCTTCATAGTTTCATCAACCAACAGCCTCTCGAGCTCCTCAAACTTCTCCTTCTCCTTATCCTTATCCTTCTCTTTATCCTCACACAATTTTTTTGCCAACTCATTACACTCCTTCTTAATTCTCTCAGCGACTTCCTTAGAAGCCTCCGCGACTCCGTCCCTCAAAGACTGGCAAACTACTTCAACATCAGTTTTAGATTTGTACACAGCAATCTCCAAAGCTTCATCCACAACATCAGTCGCGTATTCTTTCCCCGCGGAGCATCTAGCGGTCTTAGTTTCCTCATCTAGCCTCACATCTCCAGCCTCACACCTCTGCTGAAGAACTTCTTCACCCTGTCCCTCAACCTCTCTATCTCCATCCTTAACCTCCCTCTCTTTCACCTCCACCTCTTTAGCCTCTAAGCAAGGTTTGACCTCACTAACAGAATTCCTCTCTTTCTTCTTTTTCTCACTGGACCTACTCCGCCTCCTCGACTTACTAAGCGACCTCCTGCGATGCCTATCATCATGTTTTTTAGACCTCCGGTCATCATCAGTAGACTTCCTCTTTCTATTCCCAGAAATATCATCACCTTTACCCCCAACTTTCTCCAACTTACTAGTCGAATTTCTTCGTTCCTTTCTCTTGCAATCCTGACTGCGCCTCTCGCGACTTTTATTCCTTTTCCTGCCATGCTGATCAGACTTCTTAAGATTCCCTTGATACTCAGCAGCCCTCTCTTTAGCCTTCTTCTCAGCCATGTGTTGCCTATCAGCATTCTCCTTCTGCTCGTCAACCAAATCTTTCTCCTTAAACTGACTGCTGTTCTCCGGTATCGAGCGATTATGTCTCACACTGGAATTACTCACTGCGTCAGGGTAATACTGTTTTAACCTAACATGCCAAGCAATACTCGACACCGCGGACACGGTGCGAAACTGATGAATAATATTCCTCGGTAAAAAATAAATATCATTGTCATACAAATTAATCCGAGCGTAGCGAATGCCTTGTCGCCTCAATTGGTTCAATTTAGCGTCTTCAATCCACTGGACACACTGCGAAATCGGAGGCTCGTGGAGATCAAGCTGCAATTGTTCAACCAGCTCCGGAAAGTCTCCAGCGTAAAACGCGACTACGTCTTTAGTTATTCTGTTGTACTCAGAGGGCTGTCCACCGTGGATAGCCTTTAGAACTCCCACCGCAGCGGTGGTCATCCGGTCGAGTCCATGACCTACATGATCTGCATGAGCACGAGTCCGGTCTTCGAACATGTACTCCCTTGCTTCGCTTAATCTCGGCAAGTACTGGAGGTTCCTCAGTTCATTTATTCCCGTTCTGCGTCTTTTACACGGACTCTTGTTGATATCAGCGGTAGGGACCAGCTGCTCGCCAGGACGGATCCATAAAATCGGACCATCATTGGACTCTTGGGGAGTCTCCATTTTAACCACCGACATAGCGCCCCAGGGCATGGTCAGTCTTAAAAAGGGATTCTCCTCCAATCTTCGGAGCAAGTCGGGAAAATATCCGCCGACTTCCTCATGGACAGTACCGACGAGACTGATCTGGTGCAGCGGCCCGTATCTCACGGTCCCATTATTGTAAGCTTTATACACGTGCTCTTTGTACTGTAACATGGTCGTGGTCTCAATGTCGCTGTTGCGACCCAGTACTCCGTTTTTTACAGTCAGTGTCGGGTAATTGTACGCCATGTGGTCTAATAAGTCTGGCAAATACGCTGCGGAATTGTGAACTATTCCCATAACGTGATGCGCATTGCCGTTTTCATCCTCGCCGAAGACTACTTTGAAAAATTCTTGGGTAAGTTCGTCCATTTGCTCCTTTGACAATCCGTCAATCTCGTCTTGGTACATATGAACGACAGTAGCGCCTCCGTTAGGATAAGGTTCTATGTGAATGAATTTTCGGTACTTGAGTCCTTCTAGTTCCTCATTGTATTTTATCACCGGGATTCCGGTTATCTGCTGCAGTAATTTGCAACTTTTTGTCTCGAGATGGAGGCGAAGGTTCACGTTGGCTGGATGAGTGAATTCTGAGTCTTTGCGCTGAAGCTGAAGCGGAGTCGCGTTGCGATCGCGACGACACTGAACGCCGATGCTGGCTCGCTTTATTTTGCTGCGCTTGTAGCAACGGGAACAGCGATGTCTGTCGGAACTACGGCTGCGTTTCTCGCTGGAGGATTTTTCCGGGTGAGTCTGGTGAGTGAGGGTGGTTGTCGAGGTTGGCGATGATGATATAGGTGGACGAGACTCGCAGGTTACTTTTATTTGAGGCTCGTTAAGTGTTAGCAGAGGTTTTTCCTCGTCGATGTTTCCTGGGGTGAGGTCCGGTGGCTCGGTTTTTATCTCGCTCTCCGGAAGAATAGGCGGGCTTTCGTCAATCTTGGGAAGCTCAGATGATTTTGGGGGAGGGTTTTCCGGGGAATTAGTCGCGTATTTGGCTTCCATCGCGACTGGAGTTCGGGGGACTGAGTTCTCGGAAGAGGTGAAAGTTGTGTCGGGACTCAGTGGGTTTGCTGGGACTCGAGGAGGGTAGTCCGGACTTCGCGGGCTGGTTAAGATGTTGTTTCCGCTGCTGTGAGGACTCTCCCCGAGTTGGGGAGTTTTGCTGGAAACGTTTCCACAGTCTTTTTCTGAGGACTTTGCGATGGTAAGCTTGCTGCTGGGGAGACTTGTTTCTGGCATTGGTCCGTTGAATGTTGTATCAACCTGTAATGATGCAATGTGATTAATATTTTTTGTTGTTATATATTGATTTGTTAAAGAAAAAATAAAGAGTAAATTATAATTTTCGGAAATTAGGATTGTACAAATTTTTTAAAATTAAATTTAATATATATCTTGCTACTGGCAATGTACTGATATTAAGAAGAAAAAAAAATTAGTAATATAATGTATAATAATGATCAGTATTTGTAATATATATTTTTAGACAGAAAAAAAAAATAATTATTAAATTAAATAAATAAAATAAATGGATGAATTTATTGGACGAATTATTCAGGCTTTAAAAATATAAATTTGTATTGATTAAGATTCAAATGGTTAAAATTCGTCCGATGTATTGTAATAATTGCCAAAATTTATTAAGTATTTTTAATTTATTTATTTAAGAAAGAGATTAATTACTAGGATATCTGTTGTGGAAGTAATTGAATTTTATTATTTATAATAATCAAAAATAAATAATTATATTTTATTTGATAATAAAATTTCAAAGAATTTTAAAATAAATTATAAATTATTTAAATGAATTTTAAATAGTATTTTTTTTTAAATATTAAAAAATAAATCAATTAAGAATTGGATTTTATCCAAAATTAATTTATTATTTTAAAAATTTTATTAAAAATATTTTTTTCATGTTATTAAAAATTATCCTGAAATAAATAACCATGTAAAAATTTTTGATACTTTTGTAACAAATCAATTAAAAAAATTAATTTTTTTTTTATAATTTAAATATTATAAAAATCTTAAAAATGAATTAAAGTTTGTATCAAATAAAAATAAGGTATCATAATAATATAAAGAAGATGAAAAATAGTATATTAGAATACACTACAAAACAATAAAATAATTAATTAATTACTCACATGTATATTAATAATATCTCGTGGAGTTTTAACAGGTTCTCTTGCAGTTCCACAATTTGATTCTGTAAAAAGTATAAAATAATTAACAAACTTGCTCTTATAATTCTATAAAACAATATAATAAGGTAGATAAATGAAAGATAGCCCAACTAACAAGTAACAACACTCGGGAATTATTTATAAAACTAAAATATATGTATATATATATATATATATATATA